TGGATGAATGTACAGCCATACATGAATATTACATAGACCAAATGATTTTTGATGGAATTTATAAACTATACTGAAAATTGGGGCATATATATTCTATTCAAAATGAGATATTTGACACTATTTGTGTTTATTTACCTAACGAGAAACTTTCGAAATATTTTCTTTCTCATCTGTTCATCTATTGATTAGTTAATGCGTTTAAAATCGTTTACGTATCCAACTGTATTAAATTGTTTTGCATCCTAAATTCAATCATTATTTACATACCACACATACACACAGAGAAAAAGAGAGTTTGAGCAAAAATCGATGCAATTCCTTTCAATTTTCACTTGTACATTCCAAATTTACTCTTGGGGTATACACACATAATACGTAAATGCTCCAATGGCCCCCCGATTCTTGCAAAAGTCCAACCCCCACCAGCGAGTGCAAGTAACCAAACGGGGTTCTGGCATATTTGTAAGTGTAAAGTCGAACTGCTTTTCACATGTGTAGACATGTGGTGCACTTACAGTAAAAGCAGTCGCTAACTACCCACCATGATTATCATGGCCTGTACCACGTGTACTAGGGATAAGCAAAAAAAAATACGTAAAAAGTATATACATAAAAAATAGAGTGGTTGTATCAGGCATTCAGAATCAGAAATTCATTCACTGTTGGTTAAAAGAAAAGTTTATTTATTAATTTATATACATGTAAATTATCTTGTTCTTTTTTAGCCATGTAAAACTATAGCGGGCTAGACATATATAGTATTATTCCTATTCAAAATATTTACTCATTTTTTATTTACATATCATAGAGTAATTTAGTTATTTTCGTTTAATTAAAGAAAAATTAAAATATTTGCCATAATTATATTATCTACAACAATTTTTACAGCTCCTACATGGTCATTATAAATCTCTAAATCTCTCGTGAACAAAAAAACAGGAGCATAGAAAAGTGTCAACTTTTCCGCCAAAGATAGGTGAGTCACTGGTCACACAAAAAAACACGGAGAAACGTGCGTCAGAAATGTCTCACAGACACAATGGGAGTGTCAACTCAGATGTCAGGAAAAATAACGGTACATCTGCTGAAGACGTTGGGAAAAAAAAAGTGTCACGTCACTTCAGATGTCGCCTGTCGCACAGCCTCCGAACACAGCTCCACCTGTTAGCAAGCAAAGATACTACTTCACCTCACGCGACATGAATCACGTTTAATTTATACCTGACATGCATTTCTGGGAATTGTTTACTTAAGAGTTCAATATATGTGACATATTTACATATGTCCTTACTGGTCTCTAAGTGTATGTCCATATTTTGTTCAAATAACGCAAACAAGAATTCCACCAAAGTACCGGATATACACTCATGAACAAAAATTAAGGAAGTTGTACCTTTTAGCATGTATATCGGGACATTAACTCTGAAAGATATTACAGTGACCTTTATTGAAGACACACGAGATAACCAAGTGTGTATACACTCATGGACAAAACTAAAGGAAGTTGTACCTTTTACCATGTATATCGGGACATTAACTCTGAAAGATATTACAGTGACCTTTATTGAAGACACACGAGATAACCAAGTGTGTATACACTCATGGACAAAACTAAAGGAAGTTGTACCTTTTACCATGTATATCGGGACATTAACTCTGAAAGATATTACAGTGACCTTTATTGAAGACACATGTGATAACCAAGTGTGACCAAAATTGCCTTTGTCTCCTTCAAAAAAAAAAAAAAAAGACGACCAGTGATATCAAAGATTTTCCACTTTCTTAAGTTTTGTCCATGAGTGTATAAGAAGAATAGTCCCGTAAAATAGCAGAAAAGTCTGGTAGAACAAACTGGCGAAACCGCTGGGAGGTTTCACCCCTGTTGTGCCAGGATCTCTCAATATTTTCATCATTACAGTAAGGGCACATAATACATAAGTTACATCGTTTTATTTTAAAGAATAAACATTGACCTTAAGTCCCCGTCCACCATATTCCCCCGACATGACACCTTTCTTTTTGTTTGTTCCCCAATGTCAATATGAGAGAGTTATTTCCCAAAGTCCAAATAAAGCTGGCGTACGTTGAGAAAATCTAAGCCAACATAAAAGTAAACATCCGAAATTGATTTTAGAGGACATTAAAAATATTGACACAAACTAAATATATATTTTTTTAAATAAGAAAAATATAAGTTTGTTTTTTCTTCTTTGATAAATTTTGGGTTTCTATAAAAACTTTTTAGAGTATGCGACAGGTAAATTCGAGGATCTTTAAACCGAACAGCTATTCTTTTTATTAATTTTTTTTTAAACATTTTTTTTTAAATAAAAATAACGAGAGAACATCTCCTGATCGTGCAATTAAACCTGGCTGATGATATAGTGCCATCTATCGGAATATTAATCAACTGAACGTTGATTTTACTTTCGGAATTTGGACAAGTTCCTTTCTTGAATTATCTAGGGGGAAAATTGCCAAACACATAAGCTTTTCGGACTAATGGCCCTCATCAGTACAGGGACGGCTTCAATTTCATAACATCCTATGGGAGGGGGTTATGATATCGGTTATATTCCACAGCTACAGAAGTAATCATTTTTATCCCATCGAAGAGGTTTGCGAATTTGTATATAACAAAGACACTTATGTAAAATTCAATAATTTTTGTAAGTTCATTTTAGATTTTCTCTTCTGTTTAAGAAAACCATAGTTTCAGTTTTAATTGTGTTTTTGACCGGTTATTGTGTTGTATATGCTGAGTTGTATATGGGTTGCTAAGGTGATTTATTTTGGGTTTTCTCTTCTGTTTGGGAAAACCATCGTTTCAGTTTTAATTGTGTTTTTAGTCGGTTATTGAGTTGTATATAGGTTGATAAAATAATCCATTTTGGATTTTCTCTTCTGTTTTAGAGTGCCATCGTTTAAGTTTTAATTGTGTTTTTAGTCCGGTTATTAAATTGTATAAAATGAATTGTATATAATCTACTGAAATGTATTTAGGCGCAAGTATCCCGAGCTGGGATATCGCGTCCGATATGTCAAATAAAATAAAATAAATAAAATATCGGTCGAATTTACCAAAAAAAAAAAAACGTGTTGAAGCTGGTGAAGTTACAGGGGCCGATCTTAAACCAGAATACATTGTAAAACGATGAGAGAAAATGGTATTCTCATGTCCAAAAGAAAAAGCCCTTTTTACTTTTTTATCTCTAATTTATCTTTAGAGAAGATAAAATATGTTTTAATTGCATATATAAAAAGGGAGATGTACTTTTTCTACACATTAATGACATCCTTCCCAACTTTCACAGAGATCTTCTATCTATGTAACCAAATGGACCTATTTTACTAATATTACTATGAATATGTAAATATTATGGAGTGTTCTGGCTCATCAATGATGATTCAATAGTTTCGCCAGCTTAATATTTCTCTATTAGTGACCTTCAAGTCAACTTTTGGTGACTATATGGTGACAAATATACTTCAATATGATCTGTTAGTGAGCATCACTCGCAGCTCGTTTAGCGGTAACTTCCTTGATCTCTTACAGCCAACTTATTAGAGGTCTTCCTTTCTTCCTTCAATGTTTTCAAACATCAACATCTTTTTTATCCATTTATAGGGTAGCCTAGTGGACATGGCACCTGCCCGGTAAGCAGAAGGTTGTGGGTTCGATTCCCGCCCCTGGACACTTTTATTTTTCCGTTCGCCATTACTCTTCATATTTTCACCCTTTCATACGTCATCCAATCATATATAGACCATTACTCTTCATATATTCAACCTTTTCATACGTCATCCAAAAAGTTAGAAATAGTACGTATTTCTCTTTGAAATTAATAGTGATTTTTCACAAAAAAGAAACTTATGCGGGGAGGCTTTAAGTATTGCTTTATTCTCATTGTGTGTTCGAGGTAAGTCATCAGTCTTTGTTAGTATATTTGGGATTCTAGTAGAGGCTGCCTGGCCGGTATTCATAGTTCTTCAAATAAATTGAATAATTTCTTAACGCTTTGCCAAATGTTTGAATTTTTGTTCGCTCCTGACGAGGACAAAAGATTTTTGTCGAAACGTCAAGTCAATAAAAAGATTTACTGGCCGAAGTATCTTTAATTTGAAGAACTTGGGATTCTAGGTATTGATCTACCAGGATTTATTTCATATAAGATTGAAATTGTTTGTCCTTTCATCTTTCCATAGAAAATTAAATAGCTCTTTCTCCATTTCAATCTCACCCATCATACAATAGCTGGACATATTTATGTACAGAATACAGAGAGGTAAAGAGATTGCTAAGTTTGTAATTAACTTTTTCTCTGTTTTGAGCTACCAGCCATGTCTTCCCCACGGCCCACATGCTGATTATAACGGGAGGGACAAGATGGGGAGGGAATGTTTATATTTGATAAAGGGCAGCTCCATCTTTTATCCCCCCCGGGTTATCAATGTTTACACGGTGCCTCTCTTTCGTCCTACCATCTCACAACACTACACTGACTCAGCACCATTATCAACCAATATCCCATTATTATTATCCCTAGTACACGTAGTACAGACCATGATAATCATGGTGGGTAGAAGTAAGCGACTGCTCTTACTGTAAGTGCACCACATGTCTGCACATGTAAAAAGCAGTTCGACTTTTGCACTTACAAATCTACCATAACCTCTTTTTATTACTTGCATTAACTTTTGGAGTTGGAATTTTGCAAGACTCGAGGCCATTGGAACATTTTTTTTATTTCGAAAAAAAAAAAAGTGGCCAATATACGGGATTCGATCCCCGGTTCGTGATTGTCGAACAACCGACGGTTTCTACCACTCCACCACCGACTATCTAATGTAGATATGTAAAAAGGGAAGGTATATAAGTGGGTATAGAATGCAAAGAGATGCAGAGATATCCAGGGGAAAGGCAGCTGTAGGAGATCGTGTCGTGATCTCTGGCGACGTTTTTTTTAATTAGATCATGGCCCACCTGCCATTCTGACATCTCAGGTCGCCATCTGCAGTTTACTTCCTTCTTCTTCAATCATCTCCGCTAAATATTAATTTGCATCTAGGAATAAACATTGCATATAAGGCAATAACTGGCGAAACCGCTGGGAGGGTTCACTACTAATGATCCAGGCCTTGCCAATGTTTTTTTTTAAATTATTATCGCAGTATGTGAACACAATTCTTGTCTTCAAAATTTATATATTGAGAGTGTGTACTGGTTGTAAGGTATTTTAAAACGATAGATAGTGAAGGAAAGGAATTTGAGAAATAAAAAAAAACAAAGAATTGTGAATTTCCTGAAGAAAGAATGTAACGAAATGGGACTTATTACAAAAGGTCAGCCTATACGCACACATATACAGCTTTATCAAGACCTCCGGTCTTATACAGATTCACAACAGGAAGAAATAATAGATGGAGCTCCTATACTCCAGGCAGCACAGCACCCAACAACAGCCTCCTGGTCCGACGCATGTCCAATGGCCACACGTTCCTTCGTGCATACGTCAACGTATCACCGAACAGGCTAGTGTGGAATCAGCCGCGTTCTAGTCTTCGATTTCCTCGTCCAAATGGACCATGACATTCGGCGATTCTATTAATCTCCTCCGAACGGTGTATATTATCAACATTGTCCTACACAGGATACTCCTGACAAAAGGAGACACCTATTTACATATATGTTGTAGCGTTCTGTAGTTTATTCTTTGTGTTTATGGAGTGTTGTAGAAATAATATAAGGAGAGGGTAGAGAATCTGTTTTTGGTTAATTTGGCTCTGGTTTTGTTGTATTGAAGAAGAATGTTTCCGATCGAGATTTTATTTAAAAATATATTTTGTTATAATACAATATAATACGGCTTACGATTGTAGAACGACATTTGAAAATTATCCCGCATGTGTTTCTTTTGAACGAAAAATATAAATTTATTTTAAGGAGAAATAATGATTATTTCTAACCTTAGGGATGAAGTATGAAAGGATGAATTGTGAAGAGTAATGAAAAACGGAAAATAAAGTGTCTAAGGTTAGAAATAATCGTTATTTCTCCTTAAAATAAATTTCGATTTTTCGTTTAAAAGAAACACATGTGGGATATTTTTTGTTCTTGTAGTGTTTACAGTCAATGTTTTCTTTATCGTTGATTTTGCAGAGTGAGTTAATTGACAATTGGTCTTCTTCATTTTACAAAGATATCATGCCAGTACATCCTTTACTACACTTTTAGTAGAGGATTTTCTAGTAAGACAGTAAATAGAAATCTCGGATTGTGAGCTATCTACATCATTAAATAAAACTATAGGTCAATAGTCAAATAGAATATAGACCATTTTTTTCGTTATTCACAGAGTTAAAATAAAGACAATAGATAGAATTCCCGGATTGTGAGCTATCTATATTATTAAATAAAACTATCGGTCAATAGTCAAATAGAAAAGAGAACTTTGTTTTTTATTATTCATAGAGTTAAAATAAAAACAGTAGATAGAATTCCCGGATTGTGAGATATCTACATCATTAAATAAAACTATTGGTCAATAGTCAAATAGAATATTGACCATTTTATAATTATTCACAGAGTTAATATAAGAACATTAAGCCTCCAGGTATTTCACAATTTTCTTATTTTAATATTGATTGGAAGGAATTATTTTATCGAATTATTCACAGAGTTTCGGCTAAGCTCTCCCAAAACGAGATGACGTCCACTCTATAAATACCTCATTTCCACTTAAAATTTTAAAAATAGATAGTAATTAATATCAATGAGACATATCACAAATCTCCAATTTTTTTCTACCATCGCTCTTTTCTTTCAATCTTTTATATTTCTCACAGAGTTATCTCTTTCTTGAAAGAGCGCTTAACGAGGGTTTTTCTGGGGGGGGGTTCAGAGATGATATTTTTCTTTTAGGGGGAGAGCAAGGGACTGTTTTTGTTTGTGGGAGGGTGGGGGCGGAGTTTATTTTGGTTCCCTGACTCACCACCCTAACTTACCCTTTGCCCTCATTTTGTGGGAAGCCGATAAACTTTGAGTTACGACTGCGTTTCGCATTTCGTCAGGTGATTTTTTTTTTGTCAGCAATTTCAGATCTCCCCCCTTTGGAATATTTATAGGATATCTCTCCATTACTCTACTCTCCTATTTTTTATATATTTTTGTTCATCGATTTTTTGGGGGGGGGGGGGGGGGGTTCTTAGATTACAGAGTTTGATAGTTTAAATGTTTTTATTGACAATCATTAAACGATTATTTTTATTTAAAAAAATGAAAAGTAATATTTTATGTTAAATACATATTTACATTGTGATGTATAGCGCGCCATCTGTTATCAAAATTTCGAAACTATTATAGACGCGTATGATTCTTTTGAAAATTAAACAATTTCTACTGCCCTTACTGCAATGGAAAAATTAATGGGAGGGCCTGGCTCATCAGTGGTGAAAAACATATTTACATCTTCAGTTTGGAAGGCTTCCCCGCTTTAAAAGAGTTCTTTTTTCAAGCAGAGAGGGAATTTTCTTGAACAGTCTTAGTGGCGAGGTATAGCAAACGATATTCTCAACTTTTCTGCTGAACTGTAGAGCTGGTAGACAACGTTCTCTTCAGACAACCACTCTGAAAGAGAAATATGTAAATATTTGACTTATTTCGGTGATTGGCATGCGAGGCTTTAAATTTTTGTCTTTCCCACTGAAATCGCGAACAATTAAGAATATAATCACCCTTTTTTAATTTCATAGCTTAACATGAATCACATTTTAATAAACAATCTTTCTTTCAATATTCTGAGTGGCTTTTGGATGGGGAAAGAGATTGGTGTCAGCCGGGTCTCGTCAAAAATGATCCTGGCAACGAAAACTTATCAGCAACTTCTTATAGCGTTAAGCTTTCGATAATAAAACATTTCATAGTAAACAAATTTATAAAATAAACAGTTAAATAACGAAAAAATGTCTATGACAATTTTTTTAAAACGATAAACTCTTCATAGAATAGCGCAATATTCTCGCTTATTGATCTATCTATATATATATCTTGTTAAACTTTCTGATTCAACGGTCTGTACATCCATTAATTAAAATATAGGTAGATGTTTACAATCCTATATGTAAATAAATATGCTTTCTACGTATGTAAATATGTGGAACTCGTGAAGTACAAAGCATTATTTATCTTTTACTCATCATGGTTATCATATATTCACATCATGTATATACTTGGTATAAATGAATGTAAAAAAAAAACGATCGGCTGAAAAAAATCTGTAGGCGGAAGACTTCCGTAGAATCTTCACACATTGAAGAAATTTGCACAAGTAATCACGGGAAGATATGCAAATACGGAGAGACTCTCTGCAAGCCTGCGCGTGGTCTGGGTGAGATTAATGGTCGAGCGGGGTGAAAAATGGCAGGCTCCATCGAACCCTCTAAGCCTCTTCCCACACTTTCTTAACTTCCAGTCCAGTAGTTTGCTTCAAAAACCGTTTTTTTTTCTTCTTTAGTTTCTTTCTCTATTTATTGTCGCCGTTCTGTCTTTTTCTTTCTTCAACTTCAACTTGGAAGCATCTGTACTCTTGCCGAGAGGTCCAACTATCATTTTTTATATTTTTGTCTTTTCTTAAAATAGAGTCAATAAGCTCAAATCTCCACACAGATTTTTATCTGCCTTGCCAATATGCAAAGAA